ACGATGTTCTTTGAACATTATAGGGATTCCCTTTCGTGCGCTCCAAGCGATAAAAAAAAATTCTGAAGATATGTTCTCGCCAGCCTATGTGATCTTGCCTGCTTGTGTCGAGGGGTTGTTGAACATGTCTTGTTCAGCAAGAGGAAGTTTTTGTAGTTTGTTTGTCGAAATCAATTTCGATTCCACTTCGCCTCTGCCGGGTTTCATGAAGTATACGTTACCCTGGTCGTGCAAAGGCAATCAGTAAACCAATCATTCCCCATTATTGTGAAATTTTATATAAATAGTATGGCAATTTGCTTTGCATTATACCAGAAAAGTGAGGTATAATGTAGGGAAAGATTACGGAAATTGTATAAGTATTCGAAGATAAAGTTATCACTCGATTGGTAGAGTCCTTATATAGGTAGGTACTAACTACCTAGCACTTTTGTTTGTAAGCCAGAGAAAAGTAAACGATAATGATGGAAAAGGAACATACAATATAAAGTCTATCAGTTCATGGGCACCCATGGGTGCCCATTCCGCTGGAGACCGAAATAAATTCAAAACTAGATGAATTACTCAAACTCGATATAATCGAGGAAGTCAATGGTCCATCGGAATGGGTATCCCCAAATCCCCATGGTACCTGTCTTAGAAGAAAACGGAGATGTCAGGATATGTATTGACATGCGTGAAGCCAATGCAGGAATACAAAGGGAAAACTATCCTCTACCTACACAATTGACTCACTCCTAACAAAATTTCGTAAGGCAAAATTTTTCTCAAGGTTACACATAAAAAACGCATTTTTTCAAATTGAAATCGCCCCTACATCGAGAGATATAACAAGATTCATATCTAGTATAGGATTATATAGATATAAAGCGACTTTTATTCGGGATAAATGCTGCCCCTGAAATATTCCAAAAAATCATGGAAAAGATGATATATGGCATATACTCTGAAAGTATTAAAAGAAAATAATGTTGGTTTAAATAAAGGAAAATTTGTATTTAAAATATCAGAGGTAAATTTCCTGGGGCATCTTTAACACCTTTAGGAATACTATACCCTTGGATAGTTATGTGGTTAAGTCATTCAGAGCTCCCAAAACTTCAGACGAGTTACATAGTTTCTTGGGGTTAGTTAATTTTATTGGCAAATGGTTACCAAATTTAGCTACCTTGACAGAGCCCCTGAGAGCAATCTTGAAACTAAACCTATCCAAGAACACGGACATTACAGCATTCTGGAATGAGAAACAAACTCTAGCTTTCAATAAACTCAAAATCTGCTTATCTCAAATGAAGACACTATAGATTATTATGATCCAAATGATAGAACTCTGGTCGTCGCAGATGCAAGCCCAGTAGGTCTAGGGTCTGTTCTCTGCTTATGGAAACAAGAGTCTAACAGATGTTGAGAAGCGAGGATAGAACGTTGGGTTTTGAGGCGTCAGTCATTCAATTCCAAGATAGTATATCGGCCAGGAAAAACCAATATTGCAGACCCCTTATCTCGTCTTTGTGAGCTGCGAGTAAACGCACCATTTGAGAGTCACGACTTTGTCCATCAAATCGTAGAACACTCTTATTGCCCTGTTGCTGTCACGGTTAAAGGAATCAAAGAGAACACAGAATCTGATCAAGAAATGCTACAATTATTCGAAAGCAGGCAGGCAGAACACTGTCAAGTATTCAAAGAGGAATTCTGTTTCAGTGATGGGATTATGTTTAGAGGTACAATAATCGTTATTCCAGAGAAACTTAGACAACGGGTTTCAGACTCTGCTCATGAGGGTCATCCAGGTATTGTTGCTATGAAAAGTAGGCTACGAACTAAAGTTCGGTGGCCTGAAATTGACGAACAGGCTGTAAAAATAGTCAAAGCATGCAAGGGTTGCACATCAATATCGTATTTGTCCAACGGCACCTTGGGTAGACGTAGCTATAGATTTTACCCAAAGGGGAATATCTTTTTGTCATTGTGGATTACTTCCGTAGGTATGAAGAATTAAGAATTATGAAAACTATAACATCTGCAACAACCATTAATGTACTCAAAGAAATTTTATAAAGGCTAGGGTTCCCGGTGTCAATCACTTGTGACAATGGCAAACAATTCACAAGCGAAGAAATAAAATCATCTTTCAGAGAAAAGGGCATAAAAATATTTCACTCGATTCCATACTGGCCTCAGATGAACGGAGAAGTAGAAAGACATCAGAATAGGGACATCCTCAAACGCTTGAAGATAATCCAAGGCCTTAAAACGAATTGGCATGAAGAGCATATAAATTATGTACACCACACGGAACCACTGGAAAAACTCCTAGTGAATTTTTTTTTTCGACGCCAGTTTAGGGACAAAATTCCTTGTGCCACAGATACCCAACATAGCGTTCTTGACAATGAAACGATCGATAAAGACCGAGTACAAAAAGAAAAGGGTAGGGAAAATGAAGACAGAAAACGAAAAGCAATAGATAAAAATGACATAAACATTGGCGATAAAGTTCATCACAAAAATTTAATCAGGCCAAACAAGGTCACTCCAGATTGGGACCCTACCCCTAACAACACCAGTACATCCTAGGGACTTCCCATGGACGTCCCTGATTTTATACTAGGACATCCCAGGAATGTCCTTTGTCGAGACAACGTACATACTAGGGATGTCCCAGGGACATCCGCTGGCCGCTAAAAAAGGCATCCAAGGAATGTCCTTCTGGTACGTTCCTGGGATGTACCAAGTACGGTGAAAGTATATCCCTAGGACGTCCCAAGGATATCCAAGGGACATCCTTTCGACAAAAGAAAAAAGTTGCAGATCGAGTAGGGATTGAACCCGGGACCTTTGGCTTATCATGCACGCACCTTGCTCCATTGGCTATCATGCCTCCTAAAGATTTATGTACTAAACAGATTTATAAACAGGTCTCAACTACAGAAACCTGAATAAATACAACTTTATTAGGAATTGGGTATAATATATTATTATCATTCCTGGGTGTTTAAAAATGAGGGGCATTATGCATGTACGATTTCTGTCTGCGAAAAATGGTAATTCCTCAAGAAGTTCTGAGACTTTATTGTTTATTTTCATTACAATCATTTTCCGGAAGAGAAACAAACATTTTCAAAAAAAATTCACTCAATAGTTTGATGAAATTCAATTACTCTGATGTGAATGGATGTCAGATACTCCAGGGACACGAATAGGATAACCTAGGGATGTACCGGGCGGGATGTCCACTGGACAACCACTGCAGGACATCCCCTGGATGTCCCAATCATGTCCTTGTACCGCGAGACAAAAAAGGGACGTACCTAGGACATCCCTGTGTTGTTAGGGACCCCAAAAACAATAATAGAAAAAAAGGGGCGGGGACATCATAGTCCAAAATTCTGAAACAGGTCAAGAACTGAGGCGAAATATTGATCACCTTAAAAATAAAATTAGCATATTAAAATGATTAATTGAATTAGGTTCTCATTTGTATCTATGTATTTACCATTGTCAAAATTATTAAACGAATATTATTCCCAGTTAGGGGTTAGATCTTATGTTTACCTATGTATTATTTTTGTTGTTGAACATATTGATGTTTGTTGAGTATATTGATTTAGTTTAGTTATTCGTAATTTAGGTTTGAAACAAAGGAAGAGATGTGATCTATCGACGAAGAATTGTTATGATGATTCGGTATATTGATAAGTCATGTTTATGTAAACGAATGGCGAGGCGAGAGGCACTGTTAATTTGGAGATTTATTCAGATACCGAGAGTGAATGAGACCGTACATATAAAACTGTTTATAATACAAGTGTTGAAAGAAATCAAAAGTGAACACCACAGGGTTGATTCCACCTACCCCTGAAGGGTTGTTTTTTCTATATTGCTCGCCAAATGTAGGTAAATACATTCAAACGTTGACTTGTCTCGGGAACTTCCAAAAAATCATTCACACCCTCAGTAGCGAATTAATTCCAGTTCAAGTCTTCACCATGTATATAGTTATTTACATTGTGATATTGATCATAGTATTATATTAATGATAATTACCACTTTCAAGGATTCCCCTTCAGTGATTTTCTGATTTATTTACTACTTCAATTTGACATTATTCTGTTCTTATTATTATTGGTGAAGAAATTGATGTATTATTATATTATTATTCATTTTTCTCCAGCGCCGGAATCACTTATGTGTATTCAGCAGTTTCAAGTACCTATCTGTCTGCATTCAATGTGTCTAAAAAAGGCACTACAAACCTGTTGGAGTAAATACCAGCCCAAATAACGTTCAATTAGCTTTAACATTCATATCGGACTTTCATAAGACAAGACCACACTTTGACCGCTGTACTATCGCCCCTTAATACTTTGTCGATTTTTTCAGGTATCTTTGTTGTTATTTAAAATAAGAAAACCAAATGATGTATCAATGGATTTACTGAAAGATTCTTTTTTAAATTTCATAAAACAAATATACAGGTTGTCATCTAGAATAATGAGGTTGATAAGAATTTCGGAAAAACAGGAAACGTGGCAACATCGATGAGACCATTATGGGATCCGCCATGGTTTGAAATCTTTCTGTTCAAATATTCAAAAATCCAACAAATGGTTACAGAGATATTCACTTGGCTCCACTGTATAGTGTACATAGAGATTATGATACCGTGAATGACGCTTAAATGATGTTCCTGAATTTATTCTCCAAATCTGAACAATTACTTTTTATTATTGAATGGGATTCAAATCATTTATTGTATACCTTCACTTAATTATTAGATACGGCACTGATGAATGTTGAATTAGGTACATTAATCAATCCAAACAAACCAAGATAAAAAACAATCTGTGGTACCAAATTGTTGCAATATTTGAATGCTGCTGAATTTACAATGGGATTTGCAATTAGATAGGTATATTCAAATTTCATTATCATTTTAGTTGGCAACGATGGTGATGAAGATTTAAACCTCAAAAGTAAGTAAGATACTACACCAAGTTATTTAATTTTAGTTATCATTCGATACCATCTGATTCTTCCATGCACTCTGTACAAAAACAAAAAATACATAATATTCAATATTTTCACCTTTTCTCTAAAGTCATTGCTATGCAAGATCTTACTCGGTAAAAAAACATCCAAAATATTATGGATTATATTTTTTTCGCTCAATGTTTTTCAAAAACAATGCATGAGAAAATTGCATCTCAACAAAAAGTGAATGCATTTCTCGAATTTCAAGGCAACATTTTTCAACCCTCGTTCAAAGGAATACCTCCACACCACCCATGAATATAGGTAAGAATAAACAATGCAATAGAGGATAGCCACTTCTTTTAGTTTTGATCGTTCATGAAATTGAAGGAAAAGCATCACGAACAGATTCTAAAATTTCTACATGATTCTATACCTAGTCTGAAGTTGCTGTTCAATTAAGCTGAAGAAAAATGGTATATCCGTTTCCTATGTTTCATTCATTTATTGAGGATATCTCAATGGTGGAAGTCACTCTCAATCACTTTCACAATGAGAATAAGACCTTGATATCCACTTATACTGCTGCAATATACTATTATCCCACGGGAGTGAAGTGAGTAAGTATACTATAAAACGGGAAAGCTCTGGGATTCATTGCCCAAGGAAGTATTTCCATGAACTTATAATCTCCACAAAAGTTGAAAAAAAAAATCCAACACCTACCTCCTCTCCTTCTCATTCCTAGGTACGCGTAGGGATTCCCTTTTGTGCGCACCAAGCGATAAAAAAAGTTTGCAATTATCTAAAATCAAATTACATAATTAAGTTGGCTGATTATGTCTGATTACGAACAAAAGATGCCTACAATAAGGCAGGACTTACTGTCAATAAGTACAACAGGCTACCAGTTGAAAACATCGAATTTCACATCGCTAATTCTCTTATTTCAATGTATTGTGTATATTTTCGATATTGAATCATTTTCTTCCTGTCACAGGAAAAAATAGTGTATTAACACGGGAAAAATCTAATACTTTTTTCCCTTATTGTAGAATGAATAACTATAAGCCCTAAATACAATTATTGCCTTCTCTTTCGTATTATTATATAGTGTTTTTCATTATTATTAAACGTCCTTTCTTGGAGTAATAAAAAGTAATCACACTCATATCAGAATATACTTTGCCAGTAGACAAGTTGATATTGGGCTTTCATCGTTTTATTTTCATGACTCCTTGGAAGGAAAGTTACTTATGTGCCTCCATGTATGCTGAAACTGACATCTCGTTCATCGGCAGAACACTTTATCGTATTATGCAGCTATGACCCAAATTGTAATGTTTTGTGGATTAACATTGGGAAATAATCGTTATTTTTCATGGGTCAGGTTTTGCACAAAAATTCTACAATATAATTTTCTTCGCGGAAACTATCAGGAAGGTTCAGAGAATTATCATGAAAAGTTATGAGGATTTCAAAAGTGACATGATATAGGGGGGTGTTTCATTTCACATAACAAAGCAGCTACTACTTACTGATATAAGCGGCAACACTGTATTGGTGAAAATATTTTAGACGGATAAAGCATGTTTGATTATCAAGTCCACAAATTTTCGAAATGTTCATTCGTTCTGTTCCACATATTACGACGGCACTGAACTGCCATCCTATAAAAAATTTATCTACTCACTGAATCGAAAGTAGGCGTTTGCTCCCTCATTCAAGGACACAAAGCTGTCAATTTACTTCCACGGGAGAAAAAAAAAACATAACGTCCCGTGGGAGGTGAAATAAAATGGCTTCAGCATTCTTGGCAGAGATATACCTACCAATAAGATCCGTGCATAGATGTACAGAAAAGGAGTTTCGAAATCTCTCGATATCGCCAACTTTGTAAAAATAGCATAGCGAGGCGTCGGAGAATTTCCGAAGTTTCAAACCAAATTTACAGGCATCATGACACATTCATTTGAGTTCACAATTTCATTTGCACAATTTTTTGTTTCAATGGAAATGCTGCGTCATATTTTCGACTTTCTATGATGAATTCATGAACGACACGAAGTCTTAACTAAAGAAAACACTGTGATAATAGTTTATTTACTCACTTTTGGTACAGGGTGATTCACCATAAATGTCCCCTCCTCTAGCTCAGTTATTTTTGAACCAATTTCAAAATTTGAAATATCATCTTAAATGATTTTCAATAAAGTTTTTTTCCGCTTTCAGAAAATACAGGGTGCTCGGAACAAACGGTCTACAGGGTACTATTGGATTTTTTTAAATGGAACACCCTATTTTTCATTGTGTCTTTAGATTCTCCTTGAAGAGCTGATTTGATCAATGCATCACACTTGGGGTCTAGCGGGAATGATTACAGAGATATAGGGTGTTCAAAATCGAGAGTTTTCAACTTTAGGATTTTTTTGTGACGAAACTATTCATCATCGGTCAAAAAGGCTCTCATAGATTTACTATCTACTGACATTCAATGATTGGAACAGATAAAGGGTGATCAGAATTCTGAATCTTGAACCACCCTGTAAATGTTCCAATTTAATGTCAGTAGATAGAAAATCAATAGTTGAGATGAGGACATAGAAGCCGTTTTGACCAATAATCAATAGTTTCGACACAAAAAAATCTCGAAGTTGAAAAATCTCGATTTTGAACACCCTAATATCTGTGTAATCATTCCCGCTATACCCCAAGTGTGATACATTGATGGAAGCAGCTCTTCAGGAAGGATCTAGAAATACAATGAAATACAGGGTGTTCTATTTGAAAAAATCAAGTAGTACTCTGTAGATCGTTTGGTCCGAGCGCCCTGTATTTTCTGCAACGAGAAAAAATTCTGAAAAATCAATTTAGATTATTTATCAAATTTTTAAACCGGTCCAAAAATAAGTGAGCTAGAGGGGGAAACATTTATGGTGAATCACCCGGACATAAAATAAAACGAAGGTTCGGATTTTTTCAAATGATCCTCACACATTGCAGCAGTTAGAGTCACTGGATGGAATTGTTAGATAAAGATTATTTGCTGCGCCCTGTATCTTTTGCGTCCTGTCTCTAGATGGTTCTGAAAGCTATCATTGAATTCATGTCTCATCAATGGAACTCGTCAGGTCCCGAAAGAAGAACACATCCTTGAAAGTCTAGTTCAACTTCATAATAAGATTCGCATTTTGATATTTTTCAAGAAATTGTCCATCGTTCACGTCATCTATAATCGAATATGAACGTTCCGAACTCGCATTCAATTGTTCATATCGAGAGCTAGTCTGACGAAACAATTGGAGAGTGGGCACACCAGAGGAATTATAAACATCTCAATCCGTGCTATCCAAGTAAACAATTGTAAAAACTTCACAAACGATAAGATTTCCACAAAAATCTTAATCACACATGTTCCGCTAACACAGTAGCTTCATCAGCTGAAATACTGGTACAATGAAATAAAGTAACCTTGGCTTGCCTAACTTTTATATATCCTACCTTTTTAACCTAAAGGATTAGAATCACCTATGGAATGGTTCGATAAACCTTCATTTTCGGCATACAAGCACAATATCTACATTGAAATACGGTGTATCGGATTAACTTGAAAGGGTTGATAGCAAATACATATTATTACCTACTAAGAAAACAGTGGTGCACTCCTGATGTCTAGTTTAGAATTTTTGAGTTTGTTGATTTCTACTGAATCAAAATGACTGGACCTCATGTTTTAGTAGCACCAACTGGTGAGAGTGAAAATGTTAGCCCTCAATACACAATAAACAAATTCATTATGACATAAGTGTCAAATTGATTTTCGTTCAAATGTTGTCCATGGCACACTAATCCTTTATTGTGACGCATATTGATTTGGAACGGGAAATAGACCGCCTGAAACCTAATTTTAAGGATGATGCCTTCAATATTTGCATTCGTGTATATCATGGCAGCGAAGGTTCATTTCCTCCCATGCAATTTTAATGCTTCACACCTCACACACGGGAGGAAATGGATACCTTCGCTCCCTTGATAGCTATTTTACATGTATCTTTGCATAATTTACAATGCCAACTGATAATTCTAATGCCGACTTGATTTTTGTTTGGCTAGGCTTCGCTGAGTCGGCGGTCTTAGGACTGCTGGCTGGAAACTACACTGCACTGATGAGAGTCAAAGAGCTCGAAACCGGTCTGTGGTTGTCTAGCGGCCTGGCTAAATCGAAATCAATAGGCATTCAGGAAAGAAGCACTTGTATCAGTATTCGTTTATACGAGTCGATGCATAGATTTCGGGAGGATGTAATTCAATGTCCTGCGTGGCATTAGCCAGGGAAGTAGTTGTTTTTCTCCCGAAATCTACCATTGTTGTTCATTTTATGAACATTGTGTGGAAATGACTTTGAGCTTTTTGTATTTATTCACCATTTCATTCCACTTTGAGCATTGTGGCTATTTCGTAGTTGAAATTACGCCAGTCGGGCAACCAGTCACTTTCGTATGGGAATTCCAGTTTTGGAGTGATTCTTTCCTCTGTTCTACTCAGATGGCGTTACTTTCATTTTGTCGATGAAAGACGCCTCTGGGTGAATATAATGCCGACTTGATTTTTGTTTGGCTAGGCTTCGCTGAGTCGGCGGTCTTAGTACTGCTGGCTGGAGAGTCAAAGAGCTAGAAACCGGTCTGTGTTTGTCATAGCGGAAGGAGAAGATGGTGTGCTCAACAGAAAGCTCAAACTCGTCTTGTTCTGCGCATGACGTCAGCTGGGATATAACTGTCATTGCTATTATTTGTTTTCGTGATTGATGTCTCGAACTTCAGATATTATATAAGTACTAAAATTGTATGATTTCATTTCGAAATGCCCACTTGTTTCGTTTCTGGTTATGGAAATTTCAACTAACATACAAAAGGCACAGATTTTGAATTCTTCTGTATTTCCAAGAATGGGGAACTAATGAAACGATGGGAGCTTGTTGCCGACAGAAATAAACTCAAATCTTATCTTATATTCCTTACATCCTCATTCCCAGAGTGGAGTGTATAATCTCTGTCATTCCAAAGTATTCTCCGATCATACCCAAAAAACTACGGTTCTTGACAAAAAATCACAAATATTTGAAACAAGATGCCATTCCTACAGAACATCTTTCGTCGAATATCAAGTCAGAAATAATTGAAAAGGAATTCAAAACTCTTAATTTCTCACAAAATATAAATTGCAGCAAAGATTTTAATTACAAAACGGCAAAAATTGATACTCCTGTTGTCGATGTCGGAGCAGAAGCAACGTCAACGTCGTTAACTGCTGAATTTGAATCTGTCAGAATCGACACAGTAGTGGATCATTCAGATGGGATTGGCAATGCATGATGTTTTTGCTATTTGCGATTGCAAATTACCTCAACGTCACAATCTCCAGATACAATGAAATAGTAAAATCGAAGGAATAGGTACCTGTTTATATAAATTGACTTATTTCTAAACAGATCGAGAAACTCATTTAAATTTAAATAAACGTGATTGAATTCATTGCGCACGCCCATGGCACAACGGTAATGTATGTGACTAGCAGCTGATATGGGTATCCCAGATGACGTCACATAATATGCGCATAGGCACACCATCTTCTCCTTCCACTATGGTGTTTGTCTAGCGGCCTGGCTAAATCGAAATCAATAGGCATTCAGGAAAGAAGCACTTTTATCAGTATCAATGTCCTGCGTGGCATTAGCCAGGGAAGTAGTTGTTTTTCTCCCGAAATCTACCATTGTTGTTCATTTTATGAACATTGTGTGGAAATGACTGAGCTTTTTGTATTTATTTATTGATAATTCTAACCTTGTATAATTGCAATACAATTCCATGAAATGAATATGTTTCAGTGCGAAATAATCTGGCCGGAAACGAAGACTCAGAAAGAAGTTATTGTATGAAAGCTAAGCGCCTTCTGTACAAACGTGTTCACATTCTTCAGTGGCTACCAAGGTACACAAGAAATGACGTCTTGGCAGACTTCATTTCCGGACTAACTGTGGGACTGACAATGATGCCGCAATCGATCGCTTATGCTGGCCTAGCAGGAGTGGATCCTCAGTACGGCCTTTATACTGCTTTCATCGGATCTTTCACTTACATATTCTTCGGGACGATTAGAGAGGTGAGAAATAGTAAAAAGAGTAATTCATTCAATTGCAGCCAAACAATAGATGCATCAAAAGAAATATACAATGCCAAAATAAGATATCTCGTATATAGATTGTCATCACAATGGCTCCTGATGTTCACTAATAGTTCATTCCCAACACTCTCCAAAGCCGACGGCACATTATAGGAATAACATCACAAGAGAAAGCAAATATTTTTGCAGAAATATTCGCAGCAAATTCTACCGTTTCTACCTCAAAGTACTCAGGCGGAAGAGTGCTGCCATATATTCCACGTTGAATGTCGAATGCCCGCGATATCGCCTTTCATCAACGCACCATCAGACGCATTTTGTTTGGACTCAAAATCCGGAATATTATTTCTATAAAATACTTAAAATGTATTTACTTTTGCCTCAGTTATTAAAATTTGTAATATTTAATTTCTATTTGGGGAAGTACAAATATTTCACGTCTGAAACCACTAATGAAATTACAAAACAAATCAATTAAGTGCATTTTTCATCTAGATTTTCTAGAACTAACGATGAATTTGTACAAACCGAGACATTTTCTGAACCTGATTTCGTTATATGAACTTAAAATATGTTGCTTTATTCATTTTGCCAGTAGTTCAGTGGAGTTAAACATGAAAAGAGAGTCGTGCTTGCAAAAGGTCCGGTCATTCTGAATTTTTTATATGTTGTTAGGACCTGAACCAATATTAAAATACCAGATTTGCAATTTCCAAACTGCTATGCGAGCGGCGGTATACCCAAAAAACAATGAAAATTTCGGACTTTTTTCAGTTTTCGCTCAATATCTTGAAGAAGGAAGGGTTTGACCGGTATAGTCACCATTTATACTTTTGAATTAAACTAAATTTGCTATAATATGAGGCTAAGATGAGCCCCATACAACCAAGATACAGTTCTTTGAAAATAGGCAATTTTTTCGAAAAATTGAAATTTCTTCAAAATGGTCACATATTTTGTGAGTTATCTTATATGCTTCCAACGTGAAATATCATATGTAATGAAGTTGGAGAGGATTCAATAAGATTTGTTTTGAGACAAGATTGGTATCTGTAAGCTCAGCGGTTCTCTCGAAAACGGCAGACAGTCGAATGTTGTCTTTTAACTTCTCCGTAGTGGCTGGAGGATCGGAGTAGACGATGCTCTATATCCCAACAAAAAAATCGAGGGGCGTAAGAGCTGGAGATTTTGTCGGGAAAATGGTGTCCCCAATTTTCGAAAGACTCGCCGTGCCGTAACATAGGAATCGTTAGATTTGAAAAACGCCATGTTTTCTGACAATCCATACGGAGTCGCCGCAATTTAACAGCGCTATACTTCCCTCACAACTGTTAGGACGGTTGTACAGGGCGCATGCGAAAAGGAAAATTCACCCTGTATATCTTTCAAGAATAACACCATTATCGAACGTTGTTTCATACATACCTACATACTAAAATGCTTGCACAAACATCATGGTACCTACTATAAGGACAAATTACATCAACGTAAACATCAAATAAAACTAATATGAAACATGTAGTTATTGTGTCAGGTAGCCAAATCATGACTTTCTTTTCATCTTTGATGGCCCAGGCTTGGGCTCGCACGAAGATGGTGTCTCGATGGCTGTGATGGATGCTAGGAGAGGCGCCCAATCGGTAGTCGGGTAATTTTCATCATCCGAGCATTTCAGCTCTACATCAGGGACGTTGGTGCACAATTTGCAACCGCATGACTGGCAGAGGACAGAGTAATGAAGCCCTGCCTTTCTGCACGAACAGCTCCAGGGCACCCTTTCTAGCATTTACATGAGATCTTTCGCAGAAGAGCAAGAGGTGCGGGATTCATGATAGTGGAGATGGGTGTGAGTCCCTGAAAAGACATCTTCCACCCCCAATCTGTAGGACTCAAGTTTACTCCCCGCCACTCCTGCACTTGGAGCTGACACCTTGCTGCATGGTGGCCTGCGGCATCTTCCGTCGGTGTCAATCGAGCGAGGTTTATGCTCGTTGAAGCAACAAACGTCTTATACCTCAGGAAATCCAAAGTATCCTTCGCGATATCACCCTCATATAGAGCCACAAAACATTTGATGCATGCTTCTCTCACGGCTTATGTGATGGACTCTTGCCAAAGAAAGACTTTCAAGTGATCAGCAAGTGGTTCACTCTTGCTCAGGAATGTAGTGAATTTCGTCTTCCCTTGGCCAAACGACGCTGAGGTAGTATCGCACCTGGTGAATGCGTGGGTGAATAGTACCGTCCCTGGTGATCGCTGGGAGTCCTAGTGGTTGTAGGAGTTCGTATGGAGAAATGACAGCAACCAGCTTCGCACTTCGTGGTCTTTTGGAGGTAAACTTTTTTTGGTTATTAGCCGTTTTTGAGAGAACCGCTAGACCAACAGATGCCAGTCTAGTCTCAAATAAAAGCTAATTAAATTTACTACAATTTCATTTCACATAATATTCAGGTGGGAAGCGTATTTTAGAAGATAATTCACAGACAAGGTGACCATTTTGAAGAAATTCCACTTTTTCGAAAAAATTTACCATTTCCGAAGAACTGTATCTTGGGAACCAATAGCTATATAGAGCTCGCCTCAATCAAATTTATTGCTTTCAATGAAGTCAATACAGTCCATAATTATAAGAATAGATTGAATTACTTGATAGCAAGTACATTTGAGTCAAGCATTGGCAAACAATCTGTTTTTCAATATTTCAATATTTCAATATTCAATAGCTTACCTGAATATTTGAAAAACGCAAAAAAAGTATCTTCTTTCAAAAAATGCTTGAAATCATTTCTCATAGAAAAGTGTTTCTACTCGCTTAACGAATATTTTCATAAATGACCATGTTTCTCTCTTTTATATAATGTTCGTCTATCATATTATGTAATCTGTCATTTATCTAGTTTTAGATTTATATACTTGTAACAACCTGACTATTCCTATACTTTTTTAGAAAGTCCAAAGGAAAATAAAGATATTTATTATTTATTTATTTTCACAATGGAATAATTTTATACAATTCATTACCGAATGAATTGAAAAATATACATGATGCAAGAAGGTTTAAAATCAATCTTGAAAAATACTTGCTCAGGACAATTTGAATGAAAAATATGTGGCATGATTTGATTACTCAGAAATGAAATATAACTTTAATCTTAAACAATATTGATTCGTTTCCACTGAGTGAAATTCATTAGTTAACCCTTATTATTTTTTTTATATGTATTTATGCATCCCTATCATAAACAGAAATGTTTCTTGGGTAATAAAGACAATCAATCAATCAATCGATAAAGCTGACGGTAGTGCGATGGAATTCCACATATTGTTCTCAAAAAGTGTGTGTGTGTGTGAGACACAGATCCTCTGCAAGTTATTTACCATCTCGTACAAGTCGGGTGTTTTTCAACCTAGAGAAGGTACCTTATAGAATAATCCACAAACAAAATGCGTTTTGAAAACTGTATTACAAAAAATTGTATCAGCAGCTGCACCACTACAAAAACTGCATGATTCCTCCATTCCTCCAGTTCGGCGATTCCTACCTAATTGATAGCCTTTTTTCGTCTCCATTTCCCTGCATTGCCTCTGTAAATAATATTCAATAGCATCTGAGAACTATAGCTATATACTTTATTATTTTCAGTTCATTAAAAACACATTTCAAACATTAAGATAGGTAGGTAGGTATATGTACCTATATAACCTCTAAACATTTATTGATGATGGATATAATTAGGATTAGGTGAAGCTTAGCATGAAAGTCAAATCATGTAGACATGTACCTAGGTTTTTCCATTCGTCATTTTATGAACCACTAGTCAATAAAGAGATAGCCACCTTATGTTATGTTATGATACCATATTCACAAGAATGGCCCTCGAATCTAGTAGGTATTTATCAATAATGATTTGTCATATGCTGTCATGGTGACTAGATTTTAATTAGAATTGAGAAAAAGTACTTCCATAGTGATAATAGTGACATACTATAGGTCCACATTTCAGTTTCACAGAACTATAATGATTGAAATATATCACAAGTGGTGGAAAAAATTAATATATACCTTGGTGTATAAATGATTATTTCAACTTCAAATTTGTTTTTCATACTCCAAGCACCTTCAAGCGAATGAAAATGAAATGAAAACTATACTTGCCTTCACGCAACTGACACAACACCTTATTGTTGGAAGTCGAGATCGAAGATGGTTTCCACAATGATCAATGATCGAAGATCTCGAAAGTTCCAGATGTATCTACGCAACAAAGTATGAGTGAACTAGAAGACCTGAACCTGACTTGGTGTTGTCGTTGACGCCATCTTTCCATATTCATCATTATTCGTTTCATGCACATGCATGCGTTCTACGTGGTACTACTACTGAGCATGTTTATAAATTATTCTAAGAAATTATTTCTGGATCATTTTGAAAATATTGTTACTTGTCAAACTCATGTGGCAATCAAAATATCCAACACATATTTATTCTGAATAAATGTCATCAATAATATTCCCACAATATTTTTCTTAATTTGTTATAAGGTTATCCAAACTAATTATACATAGAAAATTATTAACATATATATTCCGAGAATATACTATTGAGGATGTTCACGAGTCATTCTCAAAGAATATCCCTGAATCATTCTGAAAATATCTTGATATTCCCAAAATATCCATAAAATATCTATGGGGAAGGTTTTCTGAATATTCTCAAACATTTTGTGCTATCTGGGTATTTGAGTTCAGAATTTCTACATAGTCTTATATTATATCCTGAGTGATTAATCATCATTTTGGGAGCTTCGGCGAATAAACCTTGAAAATATAAAACAATGGTTATTACACTTTGAATTCATTCGAACATCTTTCGCGGATTTATGTTGATTGGAGAGGTTTCGAATAATAATGGGCGTGTACACCTTAGTAGAACTTTTAACTCAAACCATGTTTATAATGATCCTTTTATACATAAATAA